CTGGGGCAGGGCCTGAGAGTCTGCATTTCTTGCAAGCTCCCAGGTGATACCCAGGCTGCTGGTCCACAGCCCACACTTGGAGTAGTAAGACTCAACTATCAGGGGCTAACTGAGGAGCAAGGCAGGTGACACCAACCAAAGAGGACTGAGTAAGATACTCAGAGTGTCACGAAACATCCAAGAAGCCTGATGGTGGAGATCTTCATCAGAAAAAGAGATTTAAAGAAGACACATGTGTCAGTCACAAACTGGGATGGAAGGACCAGAAGAAAACAACATGTATAGGATGAAGTGGGGTCATGAAGCATCAGTAGTTATATGATGCTCTTCCTGGGGGATTCTTTTATAACTCGAAAGAGAGGGAAACTCTTCAGGAGGTAGAAATCAGCCACTTGAACGAACCCGAAAAGTCTTCATCAGCAATTAGTCTTTATCAACCAAATACTTAGGTGCTCCTAGAGTTTGAAAGAATCGTGTATTTGTTATCGATAGACTGTCATAAAGCATTCTTAGACTAACTTAGTACTTAACACTCAGACTATGACTTACTATAGTTCTTGCCCTCTAACTAAGTGGCTGGTAGTTCTCCTAGGAAAAAGCACAAAGGTCAAACAAATCTTTTATTTGTAGGAGTTTGTGACTCTGGAGCTCAATACCCATTTCTCCCTGCCCTAAAAATCCTAGTCCTTAAACTTTAATGCACAGAATAACAAAGTCAGCTGGACTGGTGAATACCTGAATTCACTGATAATGAACACTTAATCTTAAATTAAAAATAAAAAACTGCATGCAGAGAAAGATACATACTGTATGTTTTCACAAAAAATAAAACGAATGAATATGACAAAACAAAAACAGACTCACAGATACAGAGAACATACTAGCAGTTACCAGAGGGGATAGGGGAAGCAGGAAGGGAATTAAGAGGTACAAACTACTACATATAAAATAAAAGAGGTAATAATTTAAAATCATTACTATAAAGCATCATAAATGATAACATTTGAAATGTAAAAAAACCCTGCATGCTTATAATAACCTATAATGGAAAAGAATCTGAAAAAGAACATATATATATATATATATATATATATATATATACACACACAATATACATATATACATATATATATTTAACAGAATCACTTTCCTGTACATGAAACTAACACAACATTGTAAATCTATATTTCAATAAAAAGTTTTGTTTAAAGACTGTATGAAAATGCTGGAAGTAAGAGTTTGGGGGTAGGGGAATAAAGCTGTTAACTCTTCCATTTTTGTCCATGCCTTGTACAATGTAATAGATGATATATGCACAGTCTTGCAAAATTCGGCATCAAAAAATGAGGCACTGGGCTTCCCTGGTGGCGCAGTGGTTGAGAGTCCGCCTGCCGATGCAGGGGACACGGGTTCGTGCCCCGGTCCGGGAGGATCCCGCATGCCATGGAGCGGCTGGGCCCGTGAGCCATGGCCGCTGAGCCTGCGCGTCCGGAGCCTGTGCTCCTCAACGGGAGAGGCCACAACAGTGAGAGGCCCGCGTACCGCAAAAAAAAAAAAAAAAAAAAAAAAAAATGAGGCACTTTGTTTACTTTCACTTTATGTTACTACTTAGACCTCAGAAGGCACATTGGTCTCGAGAAACTTAATATGCATTAAATATCTTTAACTACATGCAGAATAGCCATTGTAGACTAGAGAAAAGAGATGTATTTCAAATTCAGCAGCTTCACTTTAACCACATTATGTGTGGCCTTTTGCTTTAACAGAAGCTCCACATGATAGCTATTAGCACAGCCCATTCAATTTGGAAGGTAAAATTCAGGGTTACTTGCAGGAAAGAAAAAAAAGGAAGCAAGCTCCATAGTGAACAATGATAGCACCCTAAGGCTTTAAGGTTCAAATAATCCCATACATATGTTCAACAAAGATATTAATACTTTCTATGAATACCCCATTCTTCGGTGCTTTATCAGACTTGCCACCCATTAATGAAAGCTATTGAAAAACATTCCCACTATAGGCATGATGGGCAGAAATAACAACACTTGGTCTAAGCTTTGACTAACAATAATAAATCATTGAGAGCCAGAGTTGTGATAAAGAGTCCAGGGAAAGTGAATATGTACAAACTGTGTTCACTTGGAAAAGATAATAATAATGATAATTAAAATAGCAACCGATTTTTGAGTAATTACTAGGCACAAAGCCATGCTTCATGAACATTACCTAATTTAAGACTCACAAGAACCCTTGCTATAGTCACAATAACCAGTTCGCTTCTGAAAAAATGAAAAGTTGAGGCTCCCAGAGGCAATGTGAACCTTAGAGTCTAATCTTTGCTTAGAGTCACACAGCTAGCAAGTGGGGGATCTGGAATTCAAACTTAGGTCTGTGTGGCTCCAGAATCTACTCGTAAGCAGCACAACTACTAGCCTCTAGTACTATCAAATTTACCACAAAATTAAAGATTATTCATAAAATTTTTTATGACATTCTTCTCCCCCTCCCCACTTCAAAAATAGCAATGCTGGACCACATTCATCAGGATGACAAGCATTATCTGACTTCCCAGCTTTTTCATTCGACATATAGGTTTCAGATTTACCATTTGTAAAACCAAATAAAGCTTCCAAATATCATGAGAATGGCCATCTCCCACTGGTTTTATTAGACTATAGCATATATGTGCAAGGCTTAGTGCATGAGAGAGAGAATAAGATGTCAAGATCCAATACTAGCTGCTTCATTCCTGTTCCTGGGCCCTAAGTGACAAGACTAGTCTCTAATACCCCAATATACTAAAAAGCGACAAAATTTGAGGTTTGATTTAAAAAGTCACATGTCACAATGGTTTTTCTGAAAAGCCCACCAGTGTACCATTCTAATCAAATGCTAGCTCATACAATAACAGTGGTCAGCCCATGCCTTGAGTCTTCGGCTCTGATCTTCCCCAGCTCTCCCACCTAATGAACTAATATACTAATATGACTCATGAACTCCACCTGCAGGCCCAGGCCCCTCCAGGATCACAGCTGGTCATGGCAGGAAGCAGATCAGCAATCTCAGCCCTAGCAGATGAGGTAGAGGAAACTGGGTACTCACTGTAATATGGGTGCTTTTAATAGACATAGTTAAATCCTCACAACTATACACTATAAGTGATATTATCTGCATTTTAGAGATGAGGAATATGGAAACTCAGAACGTTAAAAGTACTTGACCAGGGCTTCCCTGGTGGCGCAGTGGTTGAGAGTCCGCCTGCCGATGCAGGGGACACGGGTTCGTGTCCCGGTCCGGGAAGATCCCACATGCCGTGGAGCGGCTGGGCCCATGAGCCATGGCCGCTGAGCCTGCGCGTCCGGAGCCTGTGCTCCGCAGCGGGAGAGGCCACAACAGTGAGAGGCCTGCGTAAGGCCCACGTACTGCAAAAGAAAAAAGCAAGTGGGGGAAAAAAAAAAGTACTTGACCAAGTTTGCATAGTCTTATTGTTTAAAAAGAAACAAAATAAACAAATAAAGCAGGTCTCCTATTTCCTAGTCTGAATATTGTACAATATAATTTTGACTCCTTCTTCCCAGATTTTGCACAATGAGTAAAAAAATCCAAGTTCTTTTTTTGGTGTGATCAATTTACAAGATGGTTGAGACAGCTTTCTGTGCGAGCTTATGTCTTTTTCAAAAGCTGTTTGTGTGAACATTCATATCTTATGCAGATTGCCTTGTGGTGTGTACAGACACCAAAGCCAAGTTATTCTGACCCTGGCAACAGCTGGGAAGACTGGCATCTAGAGTGAGATAAGTGCCCAGATATGCAGCCTGCCGACTTGTATCCAGTGCAATAGAATCAGTATGAGGTTGGAGACAGGAGCCAGTGGACTCTACTTTCTAGTTTGGTTGCTTTGCCTTTCACTACCTTTATTTACTTTTGCCTTTCTTGCTTGAAAGGTGTTTAGGGGGATGAGGATTGGTTAGAGATAGGGGTGGAGAAGGGAGTAGCAATGAGTGGAACCAGGTGGGAAACTGGTGAGAGAGTCATGTTCTTGCTAGAATCTTATTAAAAAGAACCAGGACCCTAATCCCAGACTCAAGCTCAGCATCGCTAATGGTGGGTCAACCAGATATTATGTTTCTCCTGATGTGATGCAGCATACCTAGGATGTATTCGGGCCCAAAAATGTTTAATAGGAATCCACCAATCATTTAGATTTAACCTAACCTACACTTTATGGGAAATACAGGAGATAAAGAAACAATGTAAGTTATATTCTTGGGAAGGAGCCAAACAAATCCAGAAAGTGAGATATTCCGCAGGACAACAGGTCAGTATTAGGAGAAAAGGGAACTGTGTCAATTAGAAGAGACTTGAGGGACATAAACCACCAGATGCAAGGCCTGGCCCTGGATTAGATCCTGGTTTGGACAGAATGCTGTAAAGACGTTTTGGGGGGGAATAGCTGGGGAAATCTGAATGTAGAATGAATACTAGATAAAATTAACATTTGTTGAACTGAAAAAGTCAGAATTGTTAACTGAAAAAAGCAGGTAGCAAAAAGCATATAAAGCAAAATCTCACTCTTGTAAAAAAGTACAGATCTGGAAGGACACATGATAAAGTTTGTGATTAGAATATGGTGATTAGAATATGGTGCTTTTTATAGTTTTTATAGTAATAAAAATTATTTTAATTAAAAGAATGAGCTATTGAAATAGAAGTGCATGGTCCTTCCCACAGAGCCCATTTTTCAGTACCTGTAATACACAACTCGTTTGTAGAATACTCAGGAATTAAACACAATGGTTGACATTTTTCAGTAGGACCCTAACTTCTGTCCACCCCTTAGGCTCCAGGTGCCAGTCCCAGCACTCATGAAACCTTTGATCTGTGTCAGCATTCCTGTTAGCTGCCTGTGCTCACCCACCGTGATGGGCCCATCTGTGGGAAAGCCCGGGCTTCTGCCTTAGTTGCTTTGCCCAGAGCTCCATTTTGTTTCCTGAGCTCACCTCCTGGCTTTGACCCCGAGGTCCTGCTTCACTCCTGCCAGCCCCAAAGACTGAATCTTGTTCACAGTACTCCAACTCCCCAGCTTGGATATGTCTGAACAGAGGGAACCCTCAGAGCCACAATGCTGCCATTTATCTGAAATTCCAACAGCTTCTGGTGGCTGGAATTGCCACTGCAGTGCCCTGCCTGCCAAATCGGACATGCTCTGGCCGCTGTTGCTCACCCAACTGTGCCTGAGCGTAGCATGCCCGGTATACTGCAAGGGACCAGGCAGCTGCCCAGGTGGAGCCAGCCTCTGTAGCCGATTTCATTCTCTCCTGCCTTCACTGAACCCTGCTATAAAGACCTGGCAGTCTGCAAGCCCAAGACAGATGTGATGCTAAGCCTACATCATCTGAAAAAGAGGCTGGTTATAAACTCCTTGCTGAAGGAGAGAACAGGACCCAAGGTCTGGGCACAACTACATCCACAGGCTTATTAATTTCTTCCTTCCTTAATTCATTCATTTACTAGCAAGCATTTATCGACCTCTTACTGGGTGTCAAATACTATACTGGGCACTGAGGCTACATAGGTGACCAAGGGAATCCCTGCCCCCTTAGACTTGTTCATAATGCTTCAGGATGATAGACCTTAACCAAATAAAGCCACCAATAATTATTTACTTGCAAATGTGATATTAGAGATGCTATGAAGGAGAAGTACAAGGTGTGAGGACAATATCTAATTGAAAATTTAAAAGATGAGTAAGCTGGCATGATGGTTGGCAGTCTTGGCAAAGGGCACAGCGTGGGTAAAGAGCCTATGATAGGCAGGAACTTGGCAACTATGAGGAACTAAAACAAGGCCAGCATGGCTGGAGGACACTGGGTGAGGAGCTGAGTGACAGCAGCTGGGGCTGGACAAGCAGTAAGGGAGGGCAAATGGACACATGTGACTGTTCCCCACCTAGATGGCCTTGCAGAAATATATGCTCAAGCAACTGAGGTCTGAGATGGACCTGAGGTTGCTGGGTATCATCTGTAACCTTTTATGTTTTTCAAAAGAAGAACTGCTGGGCTTCCCTGGTGGCGCAGTGGTTGAGAGTCCGCCTGACGATGCAGGGGACACGGGTTCACGCCCTGGTCCGGGAAGATCCCACATGCCGCGGAGCGGCTAGGCCCGTGAGCCATGGCCGCTAGGCCTGCACGCCCGGAGCTTGTGTTCCGCAATGGGAGAGGCCCGTGTACCCAAAAAAAAAAAAAAAAGAACTGCTGCTGAGTCCAAAAAGGTAACAGTATTCTGGGCATCAAGGTCAGGTACTGGAACAAAACAAAAATCATCATCCCATGCATCAGTAACCTTTTTTTTTTTTTTACAGTTCTAGTAGCCATAATTTAAAGAAAAACGTAATGGAGTTAGGGAAAGCCCAGAGACAGTTAAAAAAAAAAAGGGCCAGAAAATGTGGTCCATACATAAAAAGCTTTACACAGAGAGAAAAAAAGGTGAAGGTAGAGCTGACCCAAGTCTATGAAATCAAAAGCTACAGAATGGTTGCAAGGGAAAAGAAAGATGAACACTACATTTTAGAAATTAGAAATGGTGTTTTTATGGAATGTAGAAGGTTTGCAAATTCATAGTCCCCCCAAAAAGTACATTTTAAACAGATGAGATCAAGTTCTGCTTTCTGCACGGCATGATGGAGTCAAGAGAGACCTGGCCCGGCACTTCCTCTATGGCATGGGGCAAGTATGCTGTCTGCTTCATCTGTAAAATGGGAGGGAGCTCCATCACAGCGTTATTGCCAGGAGTAGGTGACATGATACTAAAATGCTCACCACAGTGTCTGTCACGTAATAGATACTCGGTGAATGAATGTTCACACCCTTCCTTATAGAACACAGGAGCTCTGACAGATGCTGCCACATGAAAATAAAATAGGTGGATGAAAAGAAGAGACAACTGATAAAGAAAAGATTAATTTTTAAATCACTGGTATTTTTTGAAATAGCATGAATTATGAGGAAAACATGTGCACCTCAGAATATACCCACTGGTATCCCTTCCAAATCCCCAAGGGCACAATAGATGGTCACTGATATTCATGTATAGCAGGAGTCTCCAAACACTCCTTTAATAATCATGCCCCAGGCAGCTTTGGCCCAAGGCTGTTTCAGTGTTTACCCACTTGATTCTCTCCCAGCTTTTGCCACTATGATGAGCATCCTCCTCCATATAAATACATGCATACATGCATACATTTTCCAGGACTCTTGAACTCACTTTCTTCCACCTGTTCCTCTCTCTCAGTGCTCTCAATTAACTCATCCTTATTCCAGATATTCAGATATAATGTGTCCCACTTTAAAACCCTCTCTTAACAGATGTCTTTAATGCTGTAGCGTGAATTAGTGTTATGCTACATGTCTTAGAAAGAAATGGGTAATCTACCCATATTTATACGAACTACATTTTAAAAGATGTCCCCAAAAAGAGAAACATAAAGCACAAATTCCTTGCAGAAATTGTGGCATCCAGGTGATGCACAGCAGACAAGGGGAAGTAAATAAAAGAATAGGTTTGGCAGTAATGATGCCATTACTGAATTCTTTATGCAGTTAATTGTCTATTTACAAGGCAAGTCATGTTTCCCAACTTATGCTATTGTCTCTTTTCATCTGTGATTAAAAAAAAAAAAGCCCTTTGTGCCCCCCCAAAAAAACAAGGGTTCATTGAATGAAAAAGATCTATGTGATATCATCTCAAGCAATGTCATCCTAAGTAAATCCACGCTTCTAGGATTCACCTCCTTTGTCCAGATCAGCACTATCCTCTGAATGAGGAAAGGTGCAATCTCTTTTCATATCAGCCTGTATAACATGTCATAATGCTGTGTGGTGGGGCAGGTAAGAGAAGGAAAAGTAGAAATTGGGTAGAAGACAGAATCTAACAACAGCATGTAGAATCACAAACTTGAAAATGATTCTCACAAACTTGAGAATCATCACTGATTTGCAAATTTCTGCACCGTGTTTTGGGAGAGGGAGGTTGTAGAAATGTTGCTTGTTATGTTTATACTATTTAAAATTAAAATAGCTTTGTATTGTTTTTATTCATTCAACCAAAACTTCTTGATCACCTGCTCTGTGCTAGTAGTGTGGCATTAGGGTCACAAAGAAATAGCAAGGCCCTGTCTCCACCTGCTGAATAGTTTGCAGTCCAGCAAAAATGAGAATTTTACCATATTCTTGAGGCAGTGACAGGACATGAGGATGTTACCATTATAAGACATAGGGGGACTTCCCTGGTGGCGCAGTGGTTAAGAGTCCGCCTGCCAATGTATGGGAAACAGGTTCGATCCCTAGTCTGGGAGGATCCCACATGCCACGGAGCAACAAAGCCCATGCGCCACAACTACTACTGTGCGCCCTAGAGCCCACACACTGCAACTACTGAGCCCGCGTGCTACAACTACTGAAGGCCGTGCACCTAGAGCCTACGCTCCGCAACAAGAGAAGTCATCGCGACGAGAAGCCCACGCACCACAACAAAGAGTAGCCCCCACTAGCTGCAGCTAGAGAAAGCCTGTGCACAACAATGAAGATCCAACGCAGCCAAAAATAAAAAAAAAAAAATTTAATTAAATTAAAAATAAAAAAGACATGGGGAAGTGAGATGTTTGAAGTACAGAGTACAGAAGTTAGCAACTTTGGGGATCCAAATTGGACTACTGGCATAATGGTGTATCCCATTTTTGAATGCCAGAAGCATAGTCAATGTCAGAGTTTTACCCAGGTCCAAGAGGCAAGACAGCAAATTAGATAAAGAAATGGTATTCAACAATCCTAACTCATTCCATTCCATTACCTTAAGCATCTTTATTAGAAAGAGTCGAAGAGGAAGGGGATCTCAAGTGTAATGAAGCAGTTAGAGTTAAATATGGCTCATAAAGGAGGTTAGAAAATGCTTCTGGTGCCATGATACTAGTCAATTTCCCAACCTTCAAGAGACATTTGAAGGTTAGTCTAAAGATCACTTCACATAGATTCATCTCTGCCTTTGGAGACTGTGCAATTATATCCCCCCCCCGCCCCCCGAAAAGGTCAGAAGCAAGACAGTGGACAAAGCGAAGAAAAGGGGTGCAAGTTGAATAAGCATGAGCTACCAAGTACGTGATGATTGAAGATAAGAAAACAAACAGTCACAAAAGGAGAATGTGAGGGCTTGTCTCTTTCACAGTCATTGACCCATAACAGAATCCAATCACCACATACAAAGGGAAAAGAAGATGATCCTCAATGAAAAACAAGAAAACTCAGGTGTGACCTAGCAGGGACGACAATGGGGGGAAGGAGAGGAAAAGGAAAATAAAGACAAAGAAGTAGAGACAGGTTATTATATATGCACAGATACACTATAATAGGACTTTTTTTCTGTGATATTCTTCCATATTTATTCTGAACAGCTGCCACACCACAATGATATACTTTAGTCTTCTTGTTGTTGCCATGGAGGTTTAGGATTTGTGCCAAAATACAACTGTTAGTTCAGCGTAGCCTATATCCTTTGATGAAAATATTCTCTGTTGGATGACAATTCACTGTGATTTGTGAATTGTGCAAGATTTCTCATCTTGAACTCCAAATGATTTGAGAATGACAGTTTTCAGCCGACCTTCAGTATTTAATTAAATTGAGCAGATTTTATTCAGTAGGATTTGATGAGGAAAAAAATAGAAAATGTAGCACTTCACAATACTGCTCAAACATAGAGACATGACATTTTTTAATGCAATAACATTGTAATTTTGTTTTATTTGACTGCAAGTTCTTCTAAGCACAAGGGTTATGTCCTTTTATCCGTGTAGTTCCAGTGCGTAGCACAGTGCCGGGCATATCTAAGCATTCAACAAATGTTTGTTGAATAAATAAATAATCAATTTCAATTACTGAGGAGAAAAAAGGTAAGTTTTGCTACCATATGGGAAAAAGGAGAACCAATTTATGACATGAGAGCTTCCATAACTATACCCTCAGCTTATGTCAAATATTTCAATCACAGGGTTCTGCACCTTAAGCCTAGACACAGCCTCAGAATCCTTCTCAGCATAGGATTCCAGGCAGCTACAGTCTATTATCAAAGTTGGCATTTAGAGTGAAATCTATTCCTATCCCTGAAATAGAAGTCTCCATCAGGCAAGCCATAAGCAGGAAATGTTTTTTC